AAAAAAAGAAAAGAAAAGAAAAGGAAGGAAAAGAAAAGGAAAGAAAAGGAGGAAACGAATAAATTGAATCGATCGTAACTAAACCGATCGTAAATTAGTAAAGATAATTAAATCGTGATAATTAATTAATTACGAGAATACGAATAAATTAGGAACCAAGTACAAAGTATGAGACGTACGATTGTTTCGGGGTTCGGGTGAAATTGTGTCTAACGTTTGTCCTCTTTGTGTGTTACGTGTAAGTGTGTCCGACGTGTACCTCTGTGTGCGTGCGTGTGTACGGGGAGGAAAATTAAATTAGAATAACGCCGTTTCTCCACGTTAATTAGGACTATTTATAAATTAATCGGGCTTCCCCGTCGAAAACACTTCTCTCTTAGGCCTCCTCGTCCTGATCAACGACCTAAAGCTCTCGTCTCCAATTCTTGCCTCTTCGGTTTCGCTGCCCGAAAACCGGGGCCCCGCTCGTTAATCGAGAACGCGTCCGATTTCGCCGTGATAACGTTCGCCACTCGCGGCCGAGGGGATGTCGGGGATCGCGTGGGAGGCACTGGGGGGATGATGGAAAGCAAGAAGGGTTGCAAAGGGGGCTGACTGACAACGCGACCCATTAAGACACAAGAAGAGCAGACGATCTCTTAGAGCGTTTGGAAGCTTCTCCTCACTCCGCAGTATCTACAAATATACAAATCCCCGTTCAACACGGATAGACATATCTCCTGTCTCTCTCTCCCTCTTACTCTCTCTTTCTCTCTCTTTCTCTCTCTCACTCGCACGCATTCTCTCGCACTCTCGCACACGTTCTCTCTCTCTCAATCTCTCTGCGTGGAGAGCGTTAGGTACGAACGACGAGAAAAATATCGTGTATCTTCCGCGCAACACTCCTCGGGACGGCGTCGCCTTCGGCGGTTGGAACATATATTTTGTTTTCGGTTCGCCTCTATCTCTCTCTCTGCCACTCTCTCTCTCTCGCTCTCTCGCTCTCTCTTTCAATGCTCATTCTATCGCTCTCTCGGTTTCTCTAGCAAAAACCAGCGCGGCACCGGTTATTTTCGGTGGTGCGGAGCACGCGACCCGGCGATCTCTCACGCGACCCCTGTCATCCGGCCGACTCGTCTCTCCACCCCGCGAAATTTATTTGTCGTCGAACGTCACACGGTTATCGTACAGCGGTGTACATGTTAATTGAGGGAGGTTTGGGGAGGCTCGATCAAAGCGTCATTTGATTGTAGTTAGTCCGCTACAAACAGCGATTCCTTTTATCGCGACCCGGATAAATTTCGCGGGGGTCGGACGCGAGTCGATCGGCTGGCCCGACACGGATAATTTACTATTTACAACTGGGGGGCGGGGGGTAGCGAGTGACGCGCGGTCGCTGCCCGCCGTTTCGGATTCGTTTGTCGACTTTCTCTTCGCCCGACGAACGCTGCCGTCCACGACCGCCGTTCTCCGTCTTCGCTCACCTCCGATGTCACGACGACCCTTCGAATCCTCGAAGTTTCTCGTCGAGGCGGACCACGCTGGGACTCGCCGCCATTTGCAATCCGAAGGCGCCCGCGAACATGGCGTCCGAAGTAATCGGAGGACATCGCGCGACGAACTTAAAAAGTATTCGCCTGAACTTTCATCTGTCTCGGCCGATGTTTATCTTAATTCGAGTGACACGTTGAACATAAAATATGCAACGACGAGACGATACGGTACTAAGTACAGACTATTAAGTATCTATTAAGAACGAAAATGAGCTGCTTTTGTAACGATCACTGTAGCCTTCCAGTCGCTACAGTTTGTTTCTTTTTTTTAGAAAGAAAAGCATTCACTTTGGTTTGAGCATTGCAACTTTTATGCGCAGTGTACTCGTGACTCGCCATGATTCCCGGAGACGCGAATACTTTTCACGCTCGCCGCATCTCGCTGTCGGAACCAAATTCGAAATATATGGAATATCGTTTTTCTCTATCGTCGAGCTCCTCGAAAACCCTTGCAGAACCGAAACTGTTTTAATTCGTCATCCTATTCCTCGTGGCGATCTCTGGTCATAACTACCGCCTCGGTGCACGCGTTCCTCGGAACACTCT